TTGAAAAACAACTATTGTTATTAATTATTGTTACTTAAATTAAATTATTTTCGTTAAATATTTAATATAAATATATATTAATATTATAATATATTAATATACATTAATAATGATAAAAAGTATGACATTTGTTGTTATTAAATGATAGAATTCACTAAAAGTATATAAATATGTAATAAATAAAATAATTTTGTGATAAAAATGATAAATGAGGTTTATCTATTGTCGATACATTGGTCATTCTCATTTACACCTGAAAAAATAGCCAAAAAACCGTAACTGGGCGGGGCTACCCGACACATCTTGAAAGGAGCTAAAAAACATGTCTTTTTAAATTTCTATTTTTTTTAAGTTAAACTATTCTTTTTTTGGTTTATTCTCTTTGCATTATTTAACTAGATGGTAAAACAATAGAAACATACAAAAATATTGATTATTACTCAATATTATACAGAAATATAAGCAAAACTCCTTAGGTGGGCGGGGCAACCCGACTCTCCCCTATATATATAGCAAAGAGTAATTACATTATGACCACCCTCCATCTATAACAATGGGATCGCCCAGGTTTTCATGGTTTCTCGCCCAGGAACAATGTTTTCATGGGGCACATTAGGACCCAAAATCCTCAAAGAACAATCCCTGACGTCTGTAAGCTGCCATGTCGTAAGGATCGAATCGTCAAGGAACATTCCAGTGACTTTCTAGTCAGGTCTTGGCCCCCAAATTCACCTAATCTTAATCCAATAGAGCATTTGTGGTCCTACTTGGAAAACGAAATTCGTGCTGCCACGCTACCCCCTCGCAATGTCAGGGAATTGCAGGACCAGTTGGTGAGCGCTTGATACCAGATACCTCAGACTACCTATCAGCACCTTGTGGAATCAATGCCACGGCGGGTTCTAGCAGTTTTGAGGGCTAAAGGTGATCCTGCATGTTATTAGCAGGGTGGTCATAATGTAATGGCTCTTCGGTGTATATGTATATATATATAAAGAGACCTAGTATTCAGCACTCATATTGCGCTTGAATTCCAATTTAAAATATACTTTTATAGCAAAAAACAAATTTCGTAACTATTGCTGAAACCATACGGTGACGTTTATTTTTAACAACTTTGTTAACCATGAAAAATGAGCGACCTAAATTTCATTTTAATATGCAAAGAAACATATTATAGTACTTTTACGCTAAATTTAAAATTCAATAACTGAACATTGTTTTAAAAGTTTTTCTCAAGAAGAATTCTTTTTCTTCTAAACTATTCTTGTTTTCATTTAGTAAGCTACTGTATATTCCTTACTATATTGGCCCTATTATATTTATACTATTGACAAATTATCCAATAAAATAAGTTGGTTCATACCACCCTATTGGCAAATCAAATATCTTCTTACTTAAAACTCCTTCAGAATTGAACTTTTTTTTTGTCTGTCTACACGGAGAAAAAATTCTAGCAAAACTACCGTACGGTATGGTAATGACTTTTATTATAAAAAACCATAAAGTTGGTGAATAAAACTAAAATATACGATATTTAAAGCATTAATTTGGTAATTTTTCCGTTCATATGGTAACAATTGACCGAATATTCTGGTTTTCAAAATTATAATTTCTATGACCACACATTTAGAGAAAAATACAAAGCTGAAAAAACTTAAACCGAATAAAGGATTTTTATGTCATGCTCAAAAATAACATGAAAACCAAATTTTACCAAATTTATTAATTTATTTTTACCAAATTCTAAAATTCAGCACATATTATGAAACCATATTTATTTTTAATTTTATCAAAATCATCATTAAAGCCCATCGCTTAAAATTACCGAACTTTTTGGTGTTCCCATATAGACAGAAACACTGTAAATTTTACCAGAATTGATTACATTTTATTGTGTAGTGAACTAAAAATCGCCATCGATTACCAAACATAGCATTGACAAAAATATTGCTTTTAAGTGAAAGTCAAGTTCTACATCGAATTTGCAAATTTTTGTTCAATTTTATTAATAAGTGGGTTTGATCACTATTTTTTTAATACACATTTCCTATTACTTGTATTTTCCTAAAAAATCATTTCGAAATAAATATCAATCATTACTATAAATGCTAAAAAAATGTTGCCAATACTTGTTCCAGACCTCGACAATGATGTTGGTATTTGTTATGGTTTCGGAACGATCATCTACCTCTTTGCGAGATTTTATTTGTGTTGATTATCTAATATATATAATTCTCTTACGTGGCTCCCAAATTTTGGCTGTATTTCCTTCCCGCCAGTGGCAACGTTTGCTTTGTTTTGTTTACGTTACTATTTCTCTTACACGGCGAATCGATCAATAATTGTCGCTAAAAATGTCACATGCCAAATCTAGCTGAGGTGGCTCAACATATAGCTCCTTTAAAAACGGAAACTGAAATAACCAGAGAGCATCAGCTGCGACAATCTCATACTATTAAGCTAGGCAGAAGTGAGTAGTCTTTGTCGATAGATCTCTATTTTAATATTTTGTCTAAAACGCTTTTTTTCACGAATTTATATATTACGAATTTATTTGACGATTTTTGATTAATATCACGAATTATACTATAGCACATTTCTAATAGGTTTAACGAATAACGTGTCATTTATTTGAATTCAAATTTATTTTAATGACTTAATATTTACTAAAAAGATATGTAATTTTTAAAAAAAAAGAAAGTTTTTATATGGATTTGAATGATAGTTTTGAATTCTTAGAATTTTGTGCATTTGCAATGTACCTAAGTTAGTAGCGAGCGAAGCGAGCTTGGTTTGCGAAGCAAACCATATAAGATCGAGTAGCAATTTTCGGGGGTTGGCGAGGGTTAGCGAGCTGGGGGAGCAGCCCACTAGTAGTAAGTAATCACGTAACGTAACTATCGTATTTCATTTAACCTAAAAAACAAAGTTAAAATTATCATCCACCTCTTTGTCATGTTTTATTTGTGCTGATTAACGTAAGTAATCACGTAACGTAAGTAACGTATTTTATTTAACCTGAAAAAAAAAACAAAGTTGAAACTGCCTTATCAGGACATTCATCAAAAAAGATTAAAAAAAGTAAAAAATAATGTAGACTTTCGGGATAAACTTTACAGCAAGAAATTTTGTCTCGTCCACAGAGTAAATGTTTTTTTTTCTGGGAATATCTTGATGGTTAAATAATTGGAAATCTGAGGGCGGAGGTTCTGGTCATTATAGTGGATGGGATAGAACATCTTTGTCTAACTCAAAACCTTTTATGGAGTTGTCAAGGTCACGTAAAGCAAGGAACTTTCCTGATGAAACGTGATTCTTTTGATTCTTCACTTTTCCCTTCATCTAATTGGTCTTTCACAGAGTTGTCAAGGACACGTAAAACAGGGAACTTTCCTGATGAAACATGATTCCTTTGATGTTTCAATCTTCAATTCGTCTAATTATTTTTTTTTATAGAGTTGTCAAGGACATGTAAAACAGAGAATTTTCCTGATGAAACATGACTCCTTTGAACATGACATTCAATTCGTTTAATTCGAATCAATACAGAATTCATGTTTTAGAATCTGTATAACGAAGACCATTTGCTTTCAAACGTTTTGAAATATTCAGATCCTCCCACATACCACTAACTGAAAATCAGAATAAAATTTCTAGGCAATCCAATAATTTAATGCTATAAATAACAAGCGAAATTGTAAGTTGTACTAATAACACAGGGTGCCCCAAAACTCTACAAATGTTAGGGAATGGGATCGAAGACAAATCATGATGCCAAGCACAAATCACTATACAATCCATGATCGGAACGCAAGTCGTAAAGCTCTAGAACACGAAACATATTGTGTCACCAAAGGATGGGAACGGCTACCAACATTAACGCAGACTTCACACCGTCGAAGAAGTGAACTTATATTGATGAAAACACCAGGCATCATTCTTATGGTCTCGGCAACAACGGATATCTGGGAAACAAGGCCTTCAGTAGATTCTATGGGACCATTGTCGAAGATCAGGCTCTTCGAATGAGCCCATTAGAAAAAGTTCAGGCCTAAAATTAGAAGTCCAGTCCCAGAAGAAAAGTCCGCAACCTCTACCACGTTACGACTTGCGTTCGGACCATGGATTGCAAGATGATTTGTGCTTGTCTAGTTGTCTTTTATAAAATAATAAATATTACTTTGTTCATCAGCGCTGTGAATAGATGCTAGAGAAGCGCCCTCCTTTTCACACTCTATCTTAGCCTCATCCCAGCTTTTTCTTTGACTCCATTTTTTTCCGTAAGGTTTGTAACATTTATTTCCTATAAAATACATCGAATGCAATTTCGATAAAACATGCTTAAATCTATAAAAAATGTGTGCATTATCTCATAAATTTATTTATCTTTAAAATGGTTTATCTTCCTTGAATAAACTCCTGTTTCTTTCTCCTGAAGGGCATAGTGATGCATCGCGGGTGAAACTTTCCATGGTAAATTCTTCTTATAGGTATTTTAAAGTCTTAAGTTTTGAGAAAAAGGAGTCTAGGTAAAAGTAGATTAAACTATGAAGTTTGAAATGAAAATATTTTCAAAATATCATGATGCAAACAGATTATGGTAGGATAACTTCCCCCTTGCCTATTCTTGACGTAAGTTGTTTGCATTTCGTTATTTTGAAAGTGCTTTTTACTGCATTTGTAACTTCACTGTTGACTCTAAACTTACCTGAACTCACTTTTTCTACACTTTAAATTACTTATGGATGTGAAAGATAATTTGCCATGAAGAATTCCTCCCTTGGTATAGCGTTCTCTTAGGGCTATTTTTCTTAAGGTTCTACTGTTATATGAACTATTCTATTTTTATAATTGTTCTTAGTTTGTAAAAGTTACTCAAGCATAAGTTTTACCTATATGTTGTTTACATCCTGCCGATAGGCATTTATGGTGGTCAAAAAGGTAACCTCATGTCAGAAAAGTGCCGAGTTTCAATTCCGCTTCATGCATGGATGTAATTCCTCATTCTCTGCTCTGTCTTTCTTTTGTTTTTGAGATGATGTTGATTCACTTATATGGTGTTTACGAAAAATAGATTAACATTGCAGCCCGTTAAGTACCACAATGACATATAGTTACCAAATGTGGTGGGAATTTGGAGAAAAAAAATTTGATATGAGGAAAAGCCTCACTTTAGTGGATATGAAAAGTGTTTGTGGTGCAATTTTTTAATGCTTAAATAAGCCCGGAATGAACGTTGCATTATCAGGATTCATAAAAATTTGAAATCATTCAATGATTTCAATAATTTTGATTTGCGTCAGTAGATAGAAATTCTTCCCCCTAGGAGGGAATTTCATATAGTTTCTAGGGGGAATAAGGTCAGTTTGATTGCACTTGCTACAAATTCTGCTGCGTCTTTTGAAAATGTAATTTATGGAATACTTTCTTAAATTTCATAATCAGGGTTACGAAATCAGAATGTTTCTTTGTTCGAAAAGTAAATGCTTTGTAAAGTGAATTTTTTAAACTTGAAATGGATATCCAAGTTAAAGGCATATTAGAAAAGAAATCCCTCACAAAATTTATGTCTTCAATGTGCAAATTTTATCCTAAATTTGCAGAAAGCGCTATCAGGCGCATCGTCACCATTTGTGTTGATTTATCGTACCAATTCCGGTTTTCAAATATAAAACGTTGTAAACACAGACTGGTTTTCAGTAATACTAATACTTGTTTCCATTTTACTACATTTATTTGCTTGTATACATAAAAACAGCAAAATTTTAACATTTTCTACATTTATTTGTTTACATTTTAAAACATGTTAAAAATCCTGAGTCTGGAAAAATATAATATATATTTTAAGTTTTGGATTATGGAAAAGTGTTTTAAAAAATTCTAAATTTGAATAAATACAGTATATATATGCTTTGAGTGATTAACTAATCAACTAGGTTGAAAGCCACTTATCTCGGTAGAAAAATCTCGCCAAATTAGCTATTTTTAAATAGTTTAATAACTTTTTATGTACTGAAGAGCCAAAAAAACTGGTATACCTGCCTAATATCGTGCAGTAGGGCCCCCGCGAGTACGCAGAACTGTCGCAACACGATGTGGCATGGATTCGATCAATGTGTGAAGTAGTGCTGGAAATAACTGACACCATAAATCCTGCAGGGCTGTCCATAAACTAGTGGGAGTAAAACGGGGTGGGGATATCTTCTGAACATCACGTTGCACGGCATCCCAAATATGTTCAATAATGTTCATGTCTGGGGATTTTGGTGAATTTCCGATACTGACGGTATACTCGTGAAATGGTCGTACGTGAATATCCAAATTTCATTGCTATCTCGGAGATGCTGTTTCCCATCTCCAGTGCGCCGACTATAACACCACGTTCAAACTCACTTAAATCTGTATAGCATCTGTATAGCATTGTAGCAGCAGTAACCGATCTAAGAACTGTGCTAGACACTCGTTGTCTTATATACGCAGCACTGTACTTTGATTGGCTCCATACCCCTTTATTTGCATACTCATGTCTGTACCAGTTTTTTTGGCTCTTCAGTGTATATCTGAACTGTTTGCCCTTTAAAAAACAAATATATTCCTTTACGGTACGATAGTATGGTACGATGTTATATTATATTTCAAAATTATATCGTTGGCTCAAGAGTAAAGGTAGTTAAACTGTGGCTGTTTTATTTTCCCTGGCAAAAGAGCTTCAAAATGCCTTTCGTAACTTTTTCACCTTCCCTTTTTTTGTGAGTTAGATATATAGGGTGTTCCATAATCACTACCCTTAATAAATAATTTAAGAATTACTATCAAAATGAGAAATATAAGCATAGTTGAGGTCAGTTTGTATTCAACCCTTACGTCACAAAAATTAAACAGCTTTTTTTTCAATAACTTAATTGTGTTACTATTATATTTTTGTTAATTTTTGAAATGGGACATGAACAATTCATGTACAATAAAGAACTATAAAAAAAATTTCGTAACATAAAATTTAACACCAAACAAAAATGTTAAATTTTATTTAAAGATTTTTAAAATGAAAATGTAATACCTAATCGGTACCATTCCTTTTCACAATTTCCAGGCATTAGAGGTGTAGGTTCAGGAGTAGCAAAATCATAGCTTGCATTCACTCCTCTTTTGCAAACAACACCAAGAAATCGATTGCAATGTTCGGTCTTCCATGAACCTGAAAAAAATATAAATATTTATAAATAGTTTAGGAAATATTGCGTGCAAAAATAGTTTAGATCCGCATTCCATCAAAACTTTCATAAGACACTGTATATAATACTATACATAGATTGTCCAAAATGTAAAAAATTGGTTAAATATCTTGAGAAATAAACATTGGATCAAAAAATTTTAAAATTTACGCGTGGAATATTTTTCAAAGATGTATTCATACTCGACACCCAATTTCTCCTCCTTGGCTTGGGAGTGCTTCTAAATCTTAGATGGGAACCTTAATTTTTTATTGTAGGTTTGGATTTTTCAGAAAACATTTTCTTTCTTTACCAAATGCTACCGCTATTTGCTTATACTTTTATCCTTTGACAGATTTTTGGCTTCGATCGTTAATAGATTTGGCTCCATGTCTTAAAGCCACGCTCTTCTGCTTTGTTGTTGTTCATTTACGTCGCACTAGAGCTGCACAATGGACTATTAGCGACGGTCTGGGAAGCATCCCTGAGGATGATCTAAAAGACATGCCATCACAATTTTGATCCTCTACAGAGGGGATGGCACCCCCGCTTCTTCTACTTTGTAAAGCTTACATTTAGTTGCTAAAAACATTTCACCATCTTTACCTACATTTCGATTGACATTTTTTTTTAATTTTTACTTCTAAATTTTTTAAAAAAATCCTTCATAATTTTTTCAGTTCTTGTAATTACTGTTATTTAATAGACAAAACTATTTAGCTAAGTTATTTTTGTTGTTAACTTTATACTATCAAATGCGACTCCAAAAAGGGATATTAATTTACTTTAGGCTTACTCTAGTCGCAAAATGAATTTAATTTTGATGAAATAGACATATTTTAGCTTTTTTTTTTAAATTTATAAATCACATGAGATTTAGAGAAATTCTAAACACTTAGTTTGAGCCACAACGGTTCAGGGGATAGAGCGTTCACCTTCCAATGAGGTGAACCGGGGTTCGATCCCGGCGATGGCTGGTCGATACGAATTCCGCATCCGGCTTGCATCGACCACAGTGTTGACGTGAAATATCCTCAGTGTTAGACGGATCATGGGTTAGAGCCCCCTTGCCGTCGATCTAACCGTGGGAGGTTCTCGTGGTCTTCCTCACCATGTAACGCAAAAGCGGGTTAGTTCCATCAAAAAGTCCTCCATGAAGGCAAATTTCTCCCAATACTTGATCCAGGAGCTCCCTTGTCTTTTGGATTGGGTTCAAGACTACTAGGCTACAGAGTTGAACATTAGTAGTCGGAAAGCCAAAAATTAGCTCGGTTGTTCAACGACAGTTATAAAATAAAATATAAAAAATATAAAACACTTAGTTTAATGAGGATTTCAGAACTCTCGATGTTGTATGACAAAAGAACTATCTCACATGTGTTTGATGAAGGTTGAAACAGCTTATTAAATTTTACAATTATTTAAAAGCACATCATATGATTATACGTATGTTGTACTAAAAATGTAATACATATTGTATAATTTTAAAAGAGCATGCTCTCCCGTACCTCTGAGTTTATCAAAATTCACACATTTGCTGACAGTAATGGAAGTATTAAAATTATCTTCCCAGTACAAGAATTGAAGAGGTGTACCATCCGACCATGTTAAAGAAGAATCGAGCCCTCTTGCTGACAAACCTATCCAGAAGTCTGTATTAGGTGCAGTTGACATCTAAAAATTAAAAAAAAAATCCCTCATTTATCCTTTGTTGCGATCCATACCGATTTTCTATGAAACTTTCTCTTACAATTTATAAACATTTATGAATAGTAAACAATCAAGATCTTTACTTTTAAATACGAGTACACGATAAAAAGGTATTAATAAAGTTACAATCTAAAAAATATATAGAATGTTAGAGTTTTTGCATTCGATAGTTAGAGTTTATTACAAAATGCGTCTTTATGATACTTATACACATTTTATCATTATGTTGTTGTATTTGAAAACCATTTCTCTGAATGCAGATTTTTCAGACTCGCATACTTTTCAAGTTCTTCTCTACCTATTAACTTTTTTTCGGTTGAAAGTGCTTGCAAAAGAGGCGTTTGGTTTGGAAGGAGCCAGTAACAAAATGGCGCCATATTTATCAAAGTTTTAGCCTTAAAAGTAAATCTTAATGCACAATTATTAAAAAAGAAACTCCAAACTCGTACAAAAAAAAAACTCCTGCGTGCAATGGAAGCTACATTGGTGATAAACATCATGTTAAACTTGTTAAATTGAAGGACTTCTTGAGTCCACAAGGATCACAAATGCTGTTTTTAGAACACTTCTTATATTTTGTGAGGTCTTATCTCAGTCGTTCTGAAAATCATAAATAGGCTTTTACGTCCAATGAAATAACATCAAATGCTCTTCAGTGAGTAATACATATATAATATTCTAACAAATATTGTGAGTTTATAACAGTTAATCGTATGTGTTGGGTTATGCATAGTCAATTTCTATGTAGTGCTCTCTATGCTAATAAAAATAGCTCAAAATATAAATTTGAAGAACGAATGATTTGAAGAATGATGAAGAAATGAAGAAGATTTGAAGTTTGTCATCTAATTTTTTAATAATTTAAAGTTTGCCTTCACTGCTTGGGTTCATAAAAATTAAAACATTTGAGAATTATCTAATTTTCATGTTTATTATCTAAGTGAATAATCTTGCTTGATTGTCCAATTTAGAAAAAGACTTTATTTAATAATATTCATATTTTCATAAATAATTTTGAAATTTTACTAATATTTATAATATTTGCTCGCTTTAAAATCTACTCTTTTTTAACACTTAAGTTTTGAAGTTCAAAAAGAATTCATGTGACGAAACAGATTTTGAAAACTTTCACGCATTATTATTGAAAGTGCTAAAAACAAAATTACTGAAAGTACCAATAATTAGTGCAAAATTAAAGAGCGTCCACATATCTAGAAAACTTTAATTTTATAGATTTTACCCTACATGACGACTTTGTTATTAAATACAGGGTTATTCATAATTCCCTCCGCCTGTAAATGCCATTTTTCTTTAGTACAACTGGCTTCAGTGGTACATGTTACTGCCATCTACCGGCAACTGCGTAAATTAAAACTTGAATACTTTCGGAATAATTTCACATGTTCTTTTTTGCCATATTCGTCTTCGTTTTTTCACTATAACGCTTCGAAATCCTGGAGGGAATTATAAATAACCCTGTATATATAAAACTGAAATATATTAATTTTATTATTACGAAGAATTAAAATATATTTATCTCTTATGACTTCAGTGAATTCATGGTTACTAGCAGCCTTTAGAGACAAGCTTGGTCACTTTACACAATTATACTGTGCATCATATGAACTTCAATGGGAACTCTAATGTTAACAATCCATATGCACAACGCAAGTTGTATTTAAATATTCTTATTCTGCAGCCCCTCCTCCACCTTACTTAGTTTTAAACAATAAATTAGCCAAATTTTTTTACCGTCTAGCTGTTGCCCGCTGTTTTTTTGCCAGGGCGGGAATACAATGATTTCAGTTAAAACTGCTTTCAAGAGATGTACGCGATGTTTCTTTCTGTATTAAATTTTAATAATAATTTAAAATCCGTCTGGAAAATATTAAATCAAACAAGTCACTCTAAGTATGAGTTCGGAGCATTTCAGCATAGTTGGCTTAAGAAGTTTTAAAATAATTTCCATCTCTATTGTGAGGTAAGATAGAAAACTCTACCTAATGCTCCATTGCGTGCTATACTACCTCCTCACGCACCTCGAGCCATAACTTTCAGGAATAGTAAACAATC